CGGTGCGTGTTATGCAGGACTGTGCTGGTGTGTGTTATGCAGGAAACGTAAGCTGACGTAAGTTAGAGGTGTAGGACTGTGTCGGTGTAAGAGGTGCAGGGACTGTGTTGGAGTGTAAGAGGTGCAGGACTGTGTTGGTGTGTAAGAGGTGTAGGACTGTGTTGGTGGAAGAGGTGTAGGACTGTGTTGGAGGAAAGAGGTAGGACTGTGCTGAGTGTAAGAGGTGTAGGACTGTGTTGGAGTGTAAGAGGTGTAGGACTGTGTTGGTGTGCAAGAGGTGTAGGACTGTGTTGGTGGCGAACAGGTGCAGAATCGTGTTGGAGTGTAAGAGTGCAGGACTGTGTTGGAGTGTAAGAGGTGTAGGACTGTGTTGGTGTGCAAGAGGTGTAGGACTGTACAGTGTAAGAGGTAGGTCTGTGCTGGTGTGTATAAGAGGTAGGACTGTGTTGGTGTATAAGAGGTGTAGGAATGTGTTGGTGTATAACAGGTGTAGGACTGTGTTGGAGTGTAAGAGGTGTAGGACTGTGCTGGTGTGCAAGAGGTGTAGGACTGTGCTGGCGTGTAAGAGGTAGACCGTGCTGGTGTGTAAGAGGTGTAGGTCTGTGTTGATGTATAAGAGGCAGGGACTGTGTTGGCGTGTAAGAGTGTGTAGGACTGTCTTGGTGTGTAAGAGGTGTAGGACTGTGTTGGTGTGTAAGAGGTGAAGGACTGTGTTGGAGCAAGAGGTGCAGGACTGTGTTGGCGTGCAAGAGGTGTAGGACTGAGTTGGCGTGTAAGAGGTGTAGGACTGTGCTGGCGTGTAAGAGGTGCAGAACCGTGTTGTCGTGTAAGAGGTGTAGGACTGTGTTGGTGTGTAAGAGGTGTAGGACTGTGTTGGAGGCAACAGGTGGTAGGGACTGTGCTGGAGTGTAAGAGGTGTAGGACTCTCAAAATCTGTGTGTAAGAGGTGGTTGCACTGTGTTGGAGGTAAGAGGCGTAGACTGTGTCGGTGTGTAAGAGGTGTAGGACTGTAAGCGTGTGTAAGAGGTGTAGAAATGTGTTGACGTGTAAGAGGTGTAGGACTGTGTCGGTGTGTAAGAGGTGGTGGACTGTGTTGGTGTGTAAGAGGTGTAGGACTGTGTTGACATGTAAGAGGTGTAGGACTGTGTTGGTGTGTAAGAGGTGTAGGACTGTGTTGACATGTAAGAGGTGTAGGACCGTGTTGGTGTGTAAGAGGTGTAGGACTGTGCTGACATGTAAGAGGTGTAAGACTGGCAGGTAAGAGGTGTAGGACTGTGTTGTCGTAAGAGGTGTAGGACTGTGTTGGTGTGTAAGAGGTGTAGGACTGTGTTACATGTAAGAGGTGTGACTGTGTTGGTGTATAAGAGGTGTAGGTCTGTGCTGGTGCGTAAGAGGCAGGACCGTGCTGGCGTGTAAGAGGTGCAGGGACTGTGCTGGCGTGTAAGTGGTGTAGGTCTGTGTTGGTGTGTAAGAGGTGTAGGACTGTGGGTTGGCGCAAGAGGTGTAGTGGGACTGTATTGGCGTGTGTAAGAGGTGTAGGACTGTGTTGGTGTGTAAGAGGTGTAGGACTGTGCTGACGTAAGAGGCAGACTGTGTTGGTGTGTAAGAGGTGTAGTCTGTGTTGGTGTGTAAGAGGTGCAGGGACTGTGCTGTCGTGTAAGAGGTGCAGGACTGTGCGGTGTGTAAGAGGTGTAGGACTCTCTGATGGCATGTAAGAGGTGTAGCAGTCTGTGATGACGTGTGGTGTGTAAGAGTTGTAGTATTGTGACACATGTTGTGTGTGGTGGGACTGTGACGGCGTGACAGAGTATTGACGCACTGAGGTAAAGAGAAATCGCGCCGTTTGAGTATATAATTGAAGTGAAGTGGATAATGATTATTCCATTAGAGCAACTATCAAAGCCCAGTGATCTTTCTGCTTCTAATGGCAACACCCTTATCAACTGGAACCCTTACTTATCTTGAAGACCTGTTGAGTCCTTCTATTATGTAATTGATAAATGTGCTTTACAGCATAATCGCTATGATCAATATGATGTAGAGGGCATTGTGATTAAGAACCTGCAACATGATCACTGATTAGCCCTTTTGGATACTATTCACAAGTATTCTTCTAGGTATTCAATTTAGATTTATTATTATCATTATTAGTCGTAGTAATAGTAGTAGAACTAGTAATCTGAACAGAAGCAAGCCCAGAAGTTACGTTGCAACCTGGTTGGAGATATTGACTGTCCTTTTTCTGTTTAAGTCTGCACTGCTTTGCTTCAGGAGAACGATCCTTGCCCCCAAAGCCGACAACGATCACAGATATTGGCTTTGAGGCAACAGTCACTGAATGCCGCATAGATATGGGACTTAACTAACTCAGCTAGGATAGCTACTTGTGTATTAGGATATTTAATAAGGTAATAAAATGGTTGCGAAGGTGTGGTTGTTGGAGAGGCTGGAGGCCACGTTAAAAAAGTAGTAGGTAGTAGTAGTATTCACCCACGGAGTCAAGCATCGCTGGAATTACCTGATGCGCACTATCCCGATATCGCCCTCCCTCCACCCTCTGGAAGAAGCTATCAACGTCAATTTCATCCCAAATTAGTGAAACATCTTCAATTAACCGCAGCAGAAAAATAACTCTTGTACTACCACCGAGACTGGGATGAATGGGATTGACCAATCCAGAGAAGATTGCTGCCACTGAACATCAAAACTCAGTTAAGCTCACGGGAACCCTCACTAACCACATAATAGCTCAGAACGCATCAGGCAAGGTGTACACAGCAAGTAAACAAGATTCGACGGTCCAATACGACAGAACGACAGCACGGCCAAAATCACCGTTGCAGCAACTGAGGCTGCAAGTGCCAGAGAATTTGAAAGAAAAAGTAGCTATAGCGCAGGAGGTGGGCGCCTCGAACTGGTTAACTACGTTACCGATAAGGGCAAATGTTTAAGTCTTAATAAACAAGAATTTACAGATGCCATTGCACTAAGTTACGGTAGGCCAATAGAAGGTTTGCCCTCCCAATGCGTGTGTGGCTCTTCCTATGACGTCGATCACGCCATGGTGCAAGAAAGGCATGGCGAAGTAGGGGATCTCACAGCAAATATGTTGAAGGAAATGTGTCGTGATGTCAGGTAGAACCGGCCGTCCTTCCATTGGATGTTAAGAATTTCCAACATAGGACTTGAAACACATCCAACGAAGCCCGTGTTGACGTCAGTGCTTGAGGATTCTGGACGCGGGACAGCGGGCCTTCTTCGACATCAGGATTTTTGATCCCATGGCCGTATGTCACCGTAACTTAGCTCCCGATGCTGCCTCACAGGAGGAAGGAGAACGACATGATAAGGGCATATGGGAAGAATTTTGAACGTTGATAGGCAGCTTCATTCTTGTGTTCAAACCTCTGGTGGATGGGACCATGCATGCAGCTTCTACGCCAGACCTCGAAGGTGCTATCTGAACAGAAGCAGCAGCCCAGAAATCATGTTACAGCCTGGCTGACGTCTGTCCTTTTCTCTCCTTTGGTCTTTTTCTCTGCCTCGGGAAACGAGAGACACGGGCCCCAAAGCTGACAACAGTTGCAGATATTGACTACGAGGCAACATTCACTGAATGCCGCATAGATCTGCGGCTCAAGTAACTTAACACACAGAGTAGCCTCTTATGTATTAGGATAGTTAATTTTAAGGTAATAAAATGGCGGCGAATTTGTGGCTATTGGGGAGGCTGGAGGACAAACTACTACTACTACTACTACTACTTTTTTTTTTTTTTTTTTTTTTTTTTTTTTTTTTTTTTAATAGATATGGCCTCCGCCTCCCCCAATAGCCACACCTTCGCCACCCTTTATTTACCTATTATTAAATATCCTAATACATAAGAAGCTATCCTATCTGTGTTAAATTAGTTGAGCCGAAGATCTATGCGTGATTCAGTGACTGTAGCCTCATAGTCAATATCTGCAGCAATTGTCGGAGTAGGGGCAGAAGTTTGCCCTGAGGCAGAGCAAAGCCGACCGAAGGAGAGAAGGACAGTCGACATCTCATCCAGGCTGTAACATAACTTCTGGGCTGCTGCTTGTTCGAGATCAGCTACGAGTCTGGCGAGAAACATCTTGCAGTTGGGCCCATCCACCAGAGGTTGTGAACACTAGAGGAGGAAGCTGCCTTGATCAACATTTTGAATTCTCTCCCATATGCCCTTCTTGTCGTTCTCGTTCCTATGTGCAGCATCGAGAGCAGGTTACGGTGACAAACGGCCATGGGATCAAAAACCTGATGTCGAGAAAGCTCGCTTGTCCCCGCGGCCCAGAACTCGAGCACTGACGTCCACACGCCTTCGTTAGATGTGTTTGAAGTCCTGTGTTGGAAGATCTCGCCATCATGTGGAAGGAGGGTCGGTTCTACCATGACGTCCCGGCAGATTTCCTTCAACATATTTGCTGTGAGATCCCTTACCTCGTCATGCCTCATGCATATGAAGCCCCCCTTCTTGCAGACCATGGCGTGATCGCCATCATAGGAAGAGCCACACACGCATTGGGAGGGCAAACCATCTACTGGCCAACCATACCTTAGAGCAATGGCATCTGTAAATTCTTGTTTGTTAAGGCTGAAACCATTTGCCCTTATCGGTAACGTAGTTAACCAGTTCGAGGCGCCCACCTCCTGCGCTATAGCTACTTTTTTTGTCAAATTTTCTGGAACCTGCAGCAATAGTTGCTGCAACATGTCATTTTGGCAGTGCTGCCGATCTGTTGTAATGGACCTACGGATCTTATTAACTTCGCTGGTGTCCACTTCCCCTGTTGCATTCTGGGCTATTATGTGGTCACTACTACTACTACTACTACTACTACTACTACTACTACTACTACTACTACTACTACTACTACTACTACTACTACTACTACTAATAATAATAATAATAATAATAATAATAATAATAATAATAGTAGTAGTATATAATGTTTTAAATAGTTTGGTCTAAATGAAGAACAAGATTAAGAACTTAAATCATGAATAGCGTAAAAATACGATTGTGTGTTATGGTGACAGGGAGGCCTTATAGCCAGCATTTTGATCGGCATCCGGGTGCTGGGTCGACATTACACCGTTACCAAGTACCTGTCCGTGCTGATGATTACACTCGGCACTATCATCTGTACCTTCGCATCTGCTGAACACTTGGTTAGTAATGATTCATTTGTCGGTCGCAGGAACATGAAGCACCAATAATCACAAGATGGTCAAAAGAAATCATCGGTATATTTTCATTGTTGTTTGTATATGTTAGGTGTGTGATATCTACAATAGAGTACAAAGGTATTATATTGACAATTCCCATAAGGTCAGATATTTACCATTTAATACAGGAAATCACTTATGTTTTCGACTCTTCGTTTTATTCTCATTTTTATTTTTTATCATTATTTTAGAAGAAGGAAGTTAAACAAGCTCTTTCAGTAATTCAGGAAGAAGCTAACTAAGTCTGATTTAACATTCAAGGAGGAGGAGCCTGCGGACTCCGAGGGCTTCTCCAGCTTCACCACTTGGCTCATGGGCATCGCTATTCTTACCTTCGCACTCTTCATGTCGGCTCGTATGGGCATCTACCAGGAGTGTCTCTATACTAAGCACGGCAAACACCCCCACGAGGCACTCTTCTTTATTGTGAGTGTAATAGTGTACTTCATCCTAAGTGGTTGAGTATTATGTCTCATTATATGATGTGAATTGCACGAAAGCTCTTGGGAACTTCGTGTTTTCTTGTTTCCTATGTGGTTATCAACATATACTGTACAAGGAAAGACAAAAGTCGTGTCGTGAAATTTGGTGAAAACATATGCCGAAGGGCTAAACTTTTGGTGTACTCTGTCTTGTGGTAGGGGGCTCTCATAATGTTTCACGAGTTATATTTAATCTTTGGACAAAACCGCCGCACAACTTTTGTCTTTGATTGTACATGGATCATAAGAACATAAGAACGTAAGAAAATAAGGAGTCTGCAATAGGCCGGTTGGCCTGTGCATGGCAGCTCCTGTCGAGAGTTACTACCACTCTCTATCATCCATGAATCTATCTAGCCTCCTTTTGAAACTTTCCAGAGTTCCAACACTTACTACAAAGTTGCTAAGCTTGTTCCACTCGTCCACCACCCTATTTGTGAACCAGTTTCTTCCTATCTCCCTCCTAAACCTAAATTTATCCAACTTAAATCCGTTGCTTCGAGTCCTATCCTGCTCGGATATTATAAGAACTTTATCTATATCCCCTTTATTGACTCCTTTCACCCACTTGAATACTTCTATCATATCTCCCTGCACTCTTCGTCTTTCTAGGGAATGCAAGTTAAGTTTCTTTAACCTATCCTGATATGGAAGGTTTCTAAGTCCCGGAATAATTTTCGTCATTCTTCGCTGCACCGACTCTAGTGAATTGATATCCATTCTATAATAAGGGCACCAGAACTGAACCGCATAATCGAGGTGTGGCCTGACTAGCGCAAGATATAGTTGCAATAAGACCTCTGCACTCTTATTACTTACACTTCTCGATATAAAACCCAATACTCTGTTTGCCATATTTCGAACATTAACGCACTGTTTTCTAGGCTGTAGGACCGGGCTTACAAGTACCCCTAGGTCTCTTTCACAAGTCGACTTCTCTAGGTTGGTGTTGTTAAGGCTGTATACATTGTCAGCATTTGTTCTTCCAATATTAAGTACGCTGCATCTGCTGGTGTTGAATTTCATTTGCCATTTTTCAGACCACCCCTGCAGTTTATTTAGATCCTCCTGTAAAGCATTTGCATCCTGCCCTGAATTAATATGCCGCCCTATTTTGGTGTCATCCACAAATTTGCTTATGTCACTGCTGATCCTAGTATCTAGATCGTGTATGTTGATTATGAACAAGAGTGGGCCTAGTACTGACCCCTGGGGAACCCCACTGGTTACACGGCCCCACTCAGACTTAACACCATCTACGCTGACCCTCTGCGTTCTATCGGTGAACCATGATTTTATCCAATTTAAAACTTTCCCCTTGCTACCATGAGCCTTAATTTTTCTCAGGAGCCTCTGATGCTGTACTCTGTCAAATGCTTTGCTAAAGTCTAAGTAAATAACATAGTAATTTTCGTCATTATCTACTACCTCGAAGACTTTCCTAAAAAACGTCATCTGATTTGTTTGACAAGATTTTTCCTTTGTAAACCCATGTTGAGAGTCGTAGATTAATTTGCTTTTCTCTAGATGCGATCGGATGCTATCTGCTATAATTGATTCAAGAAATTTCCCCACTACTGACGTCAAACTGATGGGCCGGTAATTTGATGCTGATGCTCTGTCTCTCTTTTTGAATATGGGTACTACATTTGCCTGTTTCCACAAGTCTGGCACAACTCCGGTGTCTAATGATTTTGTAAATAAATTTACAAGACGTCCGCTAATCTGTTCCCTACACTCTTTCAAGACTCAGGGAAAATTTCATCCGGCCCTGGGGATTTTGTCTTCTTTAGTTTATTTATCCTCTTAAGAACATCTTCTTTTCTGATAGTGATATTCTTTAATTTCTCTTCTTCCTTTCCCCTAAATATCAATTCCACCTCTGGAATTTCCTCGTGAATTTCTTCTGTGAAAACTGATAAGAAGTAGTTGTTCAATGCTTTGCTTATTTCCTCACTGCCATTTATCACTTCTCCCCTCCCTGACTTTAAAGGCCCAAATTTGTCCTTGACTTTTGTTCTATATACCTGGAAAAATCCCTTGGGATTCGCCTTGGATTCTCTCGCTATTTTGACTTCATAGTCTCTCTTTGCTTTCCTTACATTTTTCTTAACATCACGCACCTACAGTGATTATATATATATATATATATATATATATATATATATATATATATATATATATATATATATATATATATATATATATATATATATATAGCTGATAACAAAGAAAAGAAAACACGAAGTTCCCAAGCGCTTTCGTGTAATTCACATCTTCAAGGGTGAACTAAGGAAAGTACAAAACAAGGTATATATATATATATATATATATATATATATATATATATATATATATATATATATATATATATATATATATATATATATATATATATATATATATATATATATCAAATAAATCACTGTAGGTGCGTGATCTAGGTATATGCTGTAACACAAGGAAAAGAAAACACAAGTTCCCAGCGCTTTGGTGTAATTCACATCTTCAGGGGTGAGTACAGACTAGAGCTAGTCTGTACTCACTAGTGTAATTACACTGAAAGCTATAATGTATATCTTTATATATATATATATATATATATATATATATATATATATATATATATATATATATATATATATCTTGATAAAATCACATGGGAAAAGAAACAACGGTGCTCCGTTGTTTCCTTTTCATTATTTTATCAAATTTATCTTATCCACGTTTTCATTCATTGTGGATCTACATGATATATATATATATATATATATATATATATATATATATATATATATATATATATATATATATATATATATATATATTATATATATATATATATACTAACTAATGCTATCGTGTTTGTATCTTGCCTACAGCACACATTGTCACTGCCTGGGTTCTGACAGGGATTAGTATTGTGGATCACGTGGCCAGATTCAGCAGGTCATCCTCTTCCTGCCCTTTCCCAATTGCCCGGCCTTTGCCTTCGTGTGCCCAGACTCTGGCTCTTCCTCCTGGGTAACGTCCTCACTCAGCATCCTTTTATTCTTATGCCAGGACCACCATAATTTTCCTTTCAAACAAAATAAAAATGAATTATTAATAATATATAAGAAAACTAGCAAAACAAATGTTACTGTGGGGTACGTAGGTCATTTATCAAATATGTGCTAACGCATACCTATCCGATATTAATTCGTAAATAGATTAATTTACCTTGTTTCATAACTGTAAATTTCATCGTATATGAATTTTTTCATTTAGTAGGAACAATGAAAACAAATATGTCCCTATTTGATAAAAACATAATTTGTGTGTGTTTGTGTATGTGTGTATTTGTGTTTTACACTAAATAAGAAAAACCGCCTTAAGCCTTCAAAAGCAAGTGAAGTTTTGCCGAATAGGGATAACTTGGTGTTATTATTACTCTAAGTCAATGGAAATTTATTCGTATATGGTCAAATTTGTTGTTTCACGTGAGGTGCGCATTACCCTCAAAATATAGCGAATCTATACCTAAAGTAGGTTAGGTTATGTTTGTTTAGTAATTGTCAGTACAAGTGATAATATATTACACAAAGTTATTTGTTAGTGGCCCAAGGTTAAAAATGCTTTGAAAACATTCGAGGTAGATGTAGGATAGATGATTAGTGGGTCTCATATTTTTTACCTGACTTGACGTGACTATTTATAGTTACGTTGCCCTTTCTTTAGCTCCTCTTATTTTTGCGGTGGTGGTGGTGTGTAGATTAGTAGATGTCATGTTTTTGACCTGACCTCATGTTTCGTAGGGTCACCCTGTGTACATAAGCCTCTTTCTTAGTCCTTGTTTGTGTGTGTGTGTGTGTGTGTGTGTGTGTGTTACGCTAAATAAGAATAATTGCCAATTAGCGATAACTCTACGTATTTATCTTTTTGGGAAACTACATATGTAGAAGACTGATGTGCATAGAAAAACAAATTACTTTCATTAATGTGCCTCGCCAGATACTTGTGTGTGAGCTCGGTATTCAGACTGACCTCAGAGTGCACCGCCCTCACCGTCACGTTGGTGCTCACCCTTCGGAAGTTCTCTCTCTCGTGTTCTCCATTATTTACTTCCAGAACCCCTTCACCCTGCACCACTGGCTCGGCACTTTCATGGTCTTCAATGGGACTCTCCTCTTCCTAGATATCATTCAGAAGACCAGGAGGCCCTCGGGATGGACAATGTCAAAGAATAGACCCAAGCTCCTCAATAGGCGGACCACGTAGCAATGATGCGGGCCCAAATCTCTCTCTCTCTCTCTTCCATCCCTCCCTCTGGAAAAACTATTTTAGGTTTTTATTTCAAGTGCATCTGGGATTAACAATATTTTAATTGTCCCTTGGTTTCCTTATTTTATTTATAATAATTCATGCACGAACAACTATTTTGGGTTTTTATTTCAAGTGCATCAGGGATTAACAATATTTTAATTGTCTCTTGGTTTCACTTATTTTATTTATAATAATACATCTACACACACACACACATACACACACACTCACACCCAGCCTATACCCCAATACCCAGCCTAATCTGTGAGTTTGTGTTCGACTGGGCTTATGCTGATATTGCAGGAGTCGTAGACCCTCAGCAATTGGCAATATGAAAATTCCTCCACCACTCACTGTCTTGTCAGCTTTCTCGATTACATATACCGTCATCTTGACGAAAACGTCTGTAGCTGTCGCCTTCATTGATTTCACTAAAGCATTCGACCTAGTCGACCACAATATAATCATCAACAAAGCTATTGACCTCGGGCTTCGGAGAAGTCTTATACCATAGCACAGACTTCCTCAGTGACCGACGCCAAGCTGTACGCTTCCGAGGGCTGTCTCCACCTTTCAGTCACTCACCTGTGGTCCCCCAAGGCACCAAGATGGGACCACTCTGCTTCCTTATGCTCATCAATGATGCCTAGAGAAACCCCTGCTCGCTGGAAATATGTCGACGACTCCACCATTGGGATCAGCGTCGACAATTCTGCTCCGACTATACCGCCCTTCAGGGTTTATTGAACAGTCTCCAAAACTGGGCCACAACAACCATGTGACCATCAACCATACCAAGACCATGGTTATGCACATCAACCTCTCCTCCGACATTGTCCCACCTCCTTCCATTACTTTAGGTCCGAACACACTCCAGGTTGTAGATTCCTCGAAGCTCCTCGGCGATACCATAGACAACAAACTAAATTGGAAACCACACGTCAGTGAAGTTGTCAAATCCTCCAGTTTCCGTCTCCACCTCCTCCGCCCTCTCAAGTCCCTCAGGGCTCCTGCACGAGCTCCTCAGTGTTTACACAACATTCATACTTCCCAAGCTCACCTATGCCTCCCCTACCTGGTCTTCTTCCTAAATGTCACACAACGTAAACACATAGAAAAAGTGCAAAAGGGGCATGCAAGATTATTCTCTCCCCTTCCTACTCAGCATATCAAGAAGCGCTCAACACACTGACCCTTTCGACTCTCACTGACCATCACCACGACCTCATCTGCAAATTTGGTAGAAGCTTCTACACCATCCTCGACACCGGCTCCTACTACCACCTGAGATCCCTAGCCGAGAATTGCTGTTCGACACCACAACCGCATCCAGCCCATACGTGCACGAACTGATCGCTATAAGAACAACCCAGTCCCAACCATTGTAAAATTATCAATAACTTGTAATAAATCAGTGTATTCACTCCCAGTTAATACTACTTCTTGCACTGTCACTATGTTGAAATGCACTGTAGTTTGAGCTTTTCCCCATCTAGTTATTATATATCTTATTTGTATCACTTATGTTACTTGTATATTATTTGTAATTCGAAACCCATTCCCCAAATATGTAACTGTATATTTTCAGCCTTCTGGCTGCCAAGCTCTTTCAATAAACCGTTAATTATTATTATTATTATTATTACACACACACACACGCACACACACACAGTACTCCTACTACTACTATTAATTCTACTTTGCTGTCACTCGGAATAGAGTATGACGATCGTCCAGATATAATACAATGATATGAACAATTAGCCATATCACCTGTGTTGGCGAGTTCTGAGGTGACTAAAAAGGCCGATACAGGGACCGACAGGGTCGATCACAGATGTTAGACATGTAGGGAACTACATCTAGTGCAGGAGGGGCGGCGGCAGTTTCCGGCGTTGGCGCTTCTGCCTCATTATGAAGTCGACCAAACTCGAAAGTATTGACACCTTGTGGGTAATCGTCTCCCAGGTGAGTGGGTCGATTTGGCACTTTCTGGTTTGTCTTAAGACTATCCTTATAACCTTTCAGTTGCCGCCAGCGTTACATTTACTATTCGTTAGGTAACTGTAAAATAGCTGCTTTGACAGTCTACTGTCGTCCATACGGGTAACATGGCCCATCCAGCGTAGTTGTTCATGGATAATGGGAGACGGTGCTACAGTTGGTATCAGCAAGAATACTGGCATTTGTTCTCTTGCCTTCTCAGCGAATTCGGAGGATGGAACGTAGACTACGTTGGTGAAAGCATTCAAGTACCTTGGTACCTCCTGTATGTGACCTATGTCTCGCTGCCATATACCAGGGTGGAGAGGACCACTGCTCGATATACGTGCAACTTTGTAGATAATTTCAGCTCCCTACAGCTAAAGACACGGGTACGGAGTCTGCCAGAGGCTTGAAGCACATGTTATTCGATGTAGAATCTCTTCACCAATGTGTGCGGTGGTGGACAGGTGAAACCGAGATGCCGAAAGAAAGTAACATTAGAGAGGTAGTACTGATAAGCTTAATGGATGGTGGAGGTCTGGCTGAACCAGGGCAGGTTGAAAAGATTCCGTCTTATGTGCATACGCATCTGCATAGGTGTTCAGGATCTCCTGTACTTCCCGTTCAGTGTGAAGCTCAGTAATGGAAGCTGTCGACACCTTTGTTCCTGTCTGGAGTCGTCTTATGTTGAAAAAGACCCCTCATCCGGTACTCTATGTCCACCCCGCCTGCTAAATTGGAGCTGGCCTAGTAGAAAAGGCAGCTGAGAAAATGGAAAAGAGACTTGCAGTCAGTAGTCATCCTGTTTACCCGTTTGAACGGGGAAAAATTCACACTGGGTGCCATTGTTCAGGACACTGCCGCTCATGCCATCGTGGAGTTGCCTCACAATGACGATGAATTTTTTGTGGCCAGCCAAAACAGCTGAGGCTCCACCAGGGTTTTCGCTGTTGACGGAGTCTAAGGCTTTGGTTAGGTCGATGAAAGCCATGTACGACGCTGTTCTCTACATTTTTCCTGTAACTGACGGGCAGGAAAGATCGTAATGGTGCCATGTGATGGTCTAAAGCCACATTGAGATTCTGGGAGGAAGTTTTCCGCCTCAGGAAGAAATTCGTTTAACAGGACTCGGGCGATAATCATTCCATGTACGGGCAGTAGCGAGATCCCACGGTAATTGCCAAAGTCTGACCGGTCACCGTTGTTCATACAAATATTGACAATGGAGCGTTTTTGAGAGCGAGGAGTTTCCTCCTTTTCCAATATATTCTCCAGTCTTTCTTTAGATTGCAAAGTTCCCGCTAGGCCGCGGCTTTCTTCTTGCAGAAGGTATCGGCTTTTGTCCAAGACTGAGCGTTGTTATGCCAATCAGTTAAAGCACATTTATCATCCACGAGCATTGATTGCCGGGTCATTTCATCAAACTAGTCCTGGTGTATTCTTTGGATCTGGCCGAGGTCTCTCTGCAGGTTTTGCCATGACAGTGTCGAGAATATCACCATTCTGGACTAGGATTTGAGTTGTGTGTTGTCTGTTTTTTATCAGCCCATGTTTGAGTTGCTCTCTGAAGGCATGTGCTACCACTGGATCCTCAGACGCTTAGTGTTAAAACCTCTTC